GAGGCCGTTTAAAGTTTATTTTTCGTACAAAACTAAAGGGATAAACTAAAGGGATAAGCGGGTATTGACTATAGGTAAGCTCAGCTGCCAGAACACCACCTTAAAGCAGTCTGAGCTCTCCATAAACACCAGAGTTAACCCTAAGGAGCTGTTAAGAACCAAAACAGGTCTATTGACCTGATCAGACATAATTTTGTTTCTCTGATGTAGAATTTTATCTATGTGGCCTTGACTTTACAAGAAAATATTCTTTACTAAACATGTAAATTGCCACTGTGCAACGTTACCAGTTGCTCTGGAAGTTAGAGATCTATCGCCACGACTCGCTCTGGCTAAAAGTCACACAGAGCTGCTTTAATAACTTGCAGTAACATCTATGGTATTGTCCAATCCCCCTTGTTGTCTAGACTATAGAGCACATCTGTTGCAGCTTTTCCTAAGTTGCAGTTATTTTTGCTACTTGCAACATTTTTTTTTTGCTTGTATTTAGTGTATTACTATCAAACAGAGAGCAGCTCCTTTGCACTTTGCTATTATCTGGGATTTCAGCATTTTTCCTTTCCATGTGTTTTTGTGTTGATCTCATTTTGCCATTGCAGTATTTGTAATTGCATTACATTTACACCTATCAGACACTATAAAAAAGGCAAAAAGACATCTAATAATTCATAACTGGTTGCACAGTAAAGGATAAACATATATTTTAAATGAATCTTGTCTTTTACTCTGTTGGGGCAACATTTGAATGGGAGAAAAACACTAGAATATGTCCATGGGTGTCCCGTGTTTGGACAATAAGGGAGGTAAACAATGAATATGCACAGCAGTAGTAACGACTAATGTTGTACCTGAATAGAGGGGTCCAGGATGTGCAATTTACAGAGAAAGACTTCAAAAACCAATAAAGGTAAAGTGAAACTAAGAAACAAAAATAACAAATACAAACTCCAGCAGTGGTTTTTAATTTTAAAAATAATCTAGAAATAAGGGCATAATATTGGGTGAAGTTTATATGTCTCCCTCCTGATTTCAAGTAATCTGATGTCTCTTCCATTTTCATTGCTCAGCTCAATAAAATCACAGCAGGTAGACCATTTCTATGTCACCATAATCCATCAGAGAGTTAACTTTTTTGGCCTGTTTACATACAGACAGATGACATATTGGCCAGTGTCTTTTGAGCACGTGTGCACTTTCACATTTGGTGTCACAGTTTGATATTTTCAGGCCTGTATGACCTCACCGCCTGCATGTTTGTGCAGGTCTGTTTGCTCTCCGGCAAAAATCCCTGGTTATTTTGGCAATATTGTTCAACTTTGAACCCTGTCTCCTTAAATGGCGGATGGAGCTGTAGCTAATGTTTTGTCACCAGTGTGTCTGCATGAATCACCTTTTCAGGGAACTGTTTGGTTAAGAGCAAATTCTTATTGCAACATGAGCTGGGAAGTATTTTTATCATTCCTAACATCTATGTATGACAGAGAATAAAGAAAAAAAAATATTGTGTCCAAACATTAACTTTCTATTGTCTGGGTAATCCTTCCATTAAGATTCTTTCTTTAGGATGCCGATAATTGTGGCATGCACACCAGCCTCTCCTGCAGCAATCCACCTATTAAGCATGGTGCTGCCACCACCGTGCTTCACAGACTGGTTAGTTTTCTCATCAAGCTTCTATAAGGTAAGTTTTCCAAATAGCGTACATGGTCTTACAAGCAGTTTAATTTGAAATATGCATGTAAGCTATTCTCCACAAGCATTTTGAATGTTTAATGTGTGCAGATTGAATATCATGAAGTTTCCCAATAAGTCACAACCATAAGCGTATGCACCTTCTTTGCATTTGTGGCTTGCTTTTTATGTACATAGGTATAGATTTGCTTCTACTTGTATAGAAACCCGTTTCTGTGCGCTCATGATAACTTGTCACGTTGAGGGTGGACCTAACCTGGAAAAATAACTGCTATTTGCTACTTTTCAGGAAATATCACCTCTCAATAAGAGCTGTTTTCTAGTTGTGCTAGTTGTGCTTAGGAAAAGCTTTACTGCACTGGCCTATAAAAAGAAAAAAAAAATTTACATTTCTGGATAACTTCCTTATACTTTATTTTCTTAGATTCAAAACGAATGGTAAGTGTCAAATTTGCATCATCTTGAAAAACTATTTATTTTGCTATGTGGTGAACAACAAGTTGGTGCAGGACCGAGTCCAACCACAAAGAAATTTATTTGCAAGGTGAACAATATGGCGTCCACCAGTTTTCTGTCAAGATGTGATGCCTGGGACTTCCGGTTGCTTCTGGGTCCTTCCAATCAACCTGGAATGTTGTCAGAGAAAGCTAGAGAGCGGAGAGGAAATTAGGTTGTTCGGTGCCCAAAAAAAAAAAATTTGCCCATAAATGGGTTAGAGGATCATCACTACACTGATGTGTACTGAAATGTATGCGTTCTAAACGGTACATTTGATGTGTTTTATGATACTTTCATACCGCAGGCGATTGAAGCAGCAGGTTTACATGCTAAGTCGATGGTTGCCACACATCAAATATGGAAAGCCAAATGGTTCCATGACATGTGATTTCTGACACATAGAAGTCACATGATTAACGTGTGTTATGTGTGATGTCAAGGTGTTTCCTTCGCCTTTCAGTCTTTTACACTTAGTTGCCACGCTGAGAGCGCAGTAAGAACACGTCGGCTAAACGTCAATTAGCGTTGACAACATGTCAAATACAGATCGACTACACATTAAGGTGATTATGAGCCATTCAGCCATTTGACCAATTTTAGCTGGTAGTCGTCGCTTATTTCCCATTGGCTGCTGAGTAATAGTTTTTGTTTTGGAAGTAATGGCTTCTTCCTTGCAGAGCGACCTTTAAGCCTGTGTGCAGGATCTGTTTCAAGGGGGGGAAAATGACACTTCTTCATAGCTTCAGACAGCATTTTCACAAAGTCTGTTTTTCTGCTGGCCATTTGCAGAGTTCAAGTCAATACAGGATAAACTTTGCAACACAGGACCAACCTACCTGACTGATCATCATGCTCAAACTTTTTTTTCTTATACTTTCAAGCAGCTTTTTTAACAGATTAATGCACCAAATTTATACATCTGGAAATCGGTCCAAGTAAGTTAGTTTATTAAAAGAAAATATCCTTCTGGAATAATTTTTCCACTGCTTTTTGTCCAATGACAGATCAAGACACACCCAGGTATTGTGCAACCATAGAAGAAACAAAATAAAGATAAAAGCTGTTTCATAGATTTGACTGTTTTATTACAGATTTAGTCTCATAAACAGTTAAAAAGCACCTCAATCAGAAGATACAGACTCATTCCCATTCCATCACTACTACAGTTATTAAGGAGTGTGCTTAAATATCACAAAAAAACGACATGTAAAGTTTAGGGATGAGAGGCGCAATTAGCTATGTTCTTTACCTACATTCACTTCATTGCTCATCTACTCTCAACATATTTAACATCAAGCTTCTAAACCAACCAACATTTCAAGGTCACACACATAAAATGAGCAAATATAGTGTAAAACAACAGATGTGCGTAAACTGCTGGCAGTCTGACTTTAAGCAAGCTCACAGCTCAGTCTACAGCAGCACTTAAGTCAAGACGATATCACAGCTTATGTTTAAAAGGAGCGCCGCATAGCTGCAGCGTGCTACAAGCTGCAAACTAGTAACCAATGCGGCAAATGAGCCGGTTCTCATCACTGCTGATTGAAAAAGCTGCTTTCAACAGTAAAAACTAAAAACAGCATTATAGTACTTGAGTGCAACAGTTTTTTTAGCCCTTTCAGACGACTCCGGTCTCCTATTAGTCATGTTACAATCTTAAAATCTCATAACTTCTAAATAAATAGAACATACAGATTTATATACATTGCAGTCAATTGGAGAACCTTAGCGGTGGAGCTACAACTGTTCTGCATGATAAACTGTAGATTAGCTATTCTGAAATGGTTCGGTCAATAAAGATAACACACATGAATGGAAGCGCAGTCTGGTTAGGGGTTAGTCTGAGGGTAATTTCCATTACTCTGGATAAAAATTGGCATTGTCTGTTAAAAAAAACAACAAAAATGATGTGAAGACATGGGAATCTTTGAGGCTTTTGTATTAAATTCAATAAAAGAGTTGGTATCAGAACAGTAGGACCAATACTGAAGGTGGTAAATGTATTATTTGGCATTTTATTTTATTTTTATAATGACTAAATGCACGGCTTGTTCTTTATGCATTACACAACAACAATGTAAGGCATGAATATTTGTTGGAAGAACTCAGAAATGAACAGTTGCAGTGCAGTAGGGATGTAACACCATCTCCTCATATTAAATAGTAAACTTCCTGTCAGAGTAAAGTCTTAATCAGTCCAGCTTCTGTCAGCAAGAAACTTGATCGGAAAAAAAAATAAAATAAAGAAACTAAACAAAAACAAGCACAGAACAACAAACTGCTAAACTCCTATTCTGAAATTGTAAAGTATAGAGTAGTTTAGAAGTCCGCTAGCAAAGACGTGATAAGCTAGTCGACAAAACTCTAGTAAAGGCTTTGTTGGTGCTTCTGTATCAACTTTAAATAATTTATCTGCTGCTTTTTCAGTAGAAAAAAAGAAAAAGTGGCTAAGTGGTCAAAAAGAAAGTAGTAAATCTCAAGCACTGAAAGAATATTAATAACCCTTAGATGCTAACTTTAGCTAACCGCTAAAGATAGCAGCTCCCTTTTGGCGCTAATCTCAGTGACACATTAGCATTTTTGCCTAAATTTAACCCCTTCTAACTCCTAATACAAAATATTAAATAATTAGATATGAAAATTTGTATCAAGTAGGAGCATATTAATCTTTTTTTCAGTTTTAATGACACCTTAGCATCAAATCTACAATGTATTAGCAGTCAAAGTTGGATTTATTTTAGGCTGGATGAGTTTCCCTTTTATCTAATAGCTGTACAGTTTAGGTTGGGGTTGATTGAAATGGGGTTGAAACATTTGATCTAGAAGTAAAAATACACTTATCTTGTGTACTTTAACTTGTACAGTATCCTAAACGCATTAGAAGAGCATATAGCTGGGATCTGCTTGTGAGTTTGGTCTTAATAATTTGATCATTTCTGCAGGTACAAAAGAAAATTAAAAATCCTGTGCAGATTAAAGGGGATGAAAGGTGGTGGATACGGTTTAATAACGCAGAGGCTGTTCATTACATAAGAGCACTTTCTTAAAAATGCAAGCTTGCAAAGAGAAAAACCCAACTAAAGGTAGAAACATGACAGAGTGCCGTTTGGCTTCGACCCCTTCGACATCCTAAAGATTCTCTGCTTTTCTCAATCCTCTCTATTCATTTATGACTTTATCATAAACACTCTAGAATATTTTCTTTTCTTGTAGACCATCACTGCACTGCACACGCCCCACTGGGCAGGAAGTCCTGCACATACACTGCCACAGCTTTCGTGAGGTAGGTCATGCTCCCAAAGCGTCCACTGGGGGCGCTGTCGTACAGCAGCCTGCACACTCCTGTGGACGGGTCCTTTTCCAGGATGTGTTCTTCTGCTCCCAGGTCCTTCTGCAGGACAGAAAACAGGAAACGTGTCTGATACAGGGGCTAAGATCTGGAAGCATGTGTTTGGAGCCGAGTCTGCGGATTCTGACCTGATCTTTGTAGAACATGTCGTTGGCCTGGTGGACGATTTTCTCCACATGAATGATGGAGCCGATGCTGGGGATGTCCACGTCGGCCAGCATGGTGAGGACCAGGATGGCCTCAACCAGGAGCTGTCGGTACTCAGGCTGCGGGACGCGGTTCAGCACCGTCTCCACGTGGACAGAGAACTTTATCTCTCCAGGGGTCATCTGGAGAGAGCAAAGAGGGAGGAGATTTAAAAAGTAGAGCCAAAAACAAAATGTTATTTGGAAGCTACATCACCAATCTTGCTTGAAAAATAAAAATTTTGTTGTCTCAAAGAATAATTTAATGAATCTCAAACACTGTTCTAAAACAAGTTAACTTTGCTCATCAGCCATCCTAAACCTAAACATTGAAAACTGACTAGTATGGAAACATCATCTCTAAGGATGCATCTTTGATACGGTCTGTAAAATAAAGATCTGTGATGCAAAACAAATTATAGCCGGATTATTTTAATGAAGAAATAAAAGTGAAAAACAAAAGAACTGTGACTAGGGTCCATCTCTCCAGACATTTTACCACATAACTTTGCCAATCAGTGAATAATTAACCAAATAAAACAGTTTGCCTTGTTTCTGAAAATAATAAAAACCAAAGATTATTTAGAATTCCCTTTTTTTTTTAAGTGATTATAAAACAGATAAAACGGCAGTGTGCCAATTTCTCACCTCTCTGGTGGTTGAAGATGGCAGGACAAAGCCCTCTATGGACAGACCGTGGCACTGCAACAAAATCAACTGTTTATCTCTGCTTATAATATAATACAAGTATTAATTTCCAACAATTTTACTGAGCCCTTCTTGGCATGCAAAATGTGCTTATTTGATCCAATTCAGTTGGTTTTCTAAAACACATTATATGTGCCATAGTTGATCAGTTTGTTTTAATATAACAGACTTAATCCCGGCACCATGATCTGCTAATTTAATCTAAAGGGGTTTTAATGAATACTTAATTTTTCTTAGGCTGAAAAAATAAAAATAATCCAACATGATTTAAAGCAAAATAGTGTAACTTTTGATGAAAGTATTGTCATTTGAGATATATTAAATGATTTATCAGGTCATGTGACCCAGAGCGCTGCTTAATCATTAGACATGGTCAAGCTTAAAAAGTTTAGTTTAGGCAAATGGACGTGAAGTTTCGCCTCTCATCTCAAAGGCTTCTTCAGTTCTAACATGTGGTGGGGAGCACTGAGATTAATATACTGTAGTTTTAACAAAGATTTAGAGGAAAAGCAAAAGGCGGCTTTGATCCCTTCTACTGGGTTGGCCACGGAGGTCACATGGGAGGTGTTAATGGTCATTAGGGAGATCTGATGAGTCCTTAGCTCCCTCATCAGAGTGTGATGTCTCAGTGAGGTTTATTTCCAGATTAACAAAGATGGCTTCTTTAAGCCCTCTCTCAAACCATCCGTCTTCCTTGGCCAGAAAGAAACTGAGGAAACCTCTTGGATGAGAGGCAAAACTTCTAGAAAACTTCACGTCCAGTTGCCTGAATTGAACTTTTCAAGCTTTTGCAGCTCACTTTAACAGAGTTGCTTTACATCAAACTGCCCTGAAATCCAACTTCACAGTCTCTTTTACCATAGTTTCCATCATATTTTGTTTTAAGAGCTCGATCCTAGCTGGGTCATGACTTTAGGCACCAGCTCTGTGACAACGACTTTAGCTCTGCTTTCTTCGCATTTAGAAAAGGCACCTGTAATCATATTTGACTTTATTGATATAACTGACCGGCTAAAATGTGGGACTTTGCTTTGGTTTGTTCGGTGTCTCCAAATAGTCACCCTAGTAAGTTATAAAATTACCAGTAATATAGCCCACAGGACGTCTGACTGGGTATAGAGGAACTGAAAAACTTTAGGTTTGGACAAGGCACAATCGTTGATGTGTTCTCTAGAGAAACTTTGACATCAGATTTTGTTTTCCTCTTTTTTGATTGCCAAAAAGGAGAATATATGCATCTAAAATAAGAAGTTCAACCTAAATTAGATGAATCATATATAATGCATCTGGTGTGAATAATGTAGTAGTTTGTTACGTAGTGCTGTCACACGCGTAACCTGCGAGTAGCATGTGCGCCTGTTGCTTTGCTGAACTTGCACGCCATAATGGGTTGGTGTATTTTCCCCTTGAGGCTTCTCAATCTGCTCCGCTACAGTGTTTTAAGGGGCGTTAGACCTATACCTTCCAGGTCTAGCACTCCTAGTGGCTAAAGTTTGCTTTAGAGAAAATCATTCATTGAATATGAAACCCTCAAGCAGACCTTCTGCAGGATCTTCCACACTTTCTGGTAGAAGCCAACTGGAACCCTGTTAAGCGCGCCGTCCAGCCGCCTCCTGCGCAGCCACTGTCCGTGTCTGGAGTCCTTGGAACCGGGGAAGCTGTCTGGAACGTCAAGAGACTCTACAGACGGGAGCCTGTACCTCTGAAGAGTGAGGGTGACAAAAGACAAAGTCTCTGTAGATCTGGTGAAATGGAGCCCTCTGCTTTTTTAAAAGCACAGTGTTCAGACATCTTCACAAAACCTGACCTGATGGGCTCTGGGAGGAAAGAAAACAAGCATCCTGCAAGTATATCCTTTTATTTTACCAATTGAGATACTCCAATGCTAAAGGCAGAGGTGGGTAGTATTCACATTTATCACAGTTTTGACACAAACATAATTTTAGAGCCTGAACTTTTTCACTTGAATAATAAAGTTATGAGGTATTGCCACATTAACTTCAGTAAAACCTCTGGCTATCCTACCAACAATGATTAACCTCACTAAACAACCTTATTTATTCAGTGAAATACAGCATACACAGGGAGTTTTCCCTGTTCTAACCAACTTTAATTGCAAGTATTTTCTTTTAATTACAAGTTTTATTTTAGGATAAATATATTTGAAGGCGTTTTCTCTGGTAAAGTTAATTATTTTCCAATAAATAATTTATTGGTCTCATTTTGTTTGTCTTTAAAGCACCAGAATGTGGACATAACTTCGAATGTTTTTGTATTTTGCTAAATAATCCTACATGGTAAATCAAATGGTTTCATTTGTTACTTATTGCTACCCTTATTAGTGCTGTATTCACCATTTTTGAGTTATTTCTTGGACGGCTACCCTTTCTTAACCTGGCAGTGGCCATATTGATATGTGTAGAACTGTTCTTCATTATCAATCAGTCTGTCCATGAAAAGGCAGGACGTTTGGTACAATACTTAGAGCTGATTGGGTGATGTGCCAGCTAGCACCCGCCTTCCATGATACGCTTTCAACCAATCGTAGCAGGGAATCGTGACGTTTCAGCAGAGCAAGCCGAAAAATCAAACTTTTTCTAAACCCTGTTGTCTTTTCCATCTACAAATGCACAAAGTGCTTCTCTTTGCTTATTTTTAAACAAGAAATTGTCGCTATTTTAGCTAAAACTGAGTCAACTGCAGCAGGTGAGTCCTCCAACGTTTCCATGTTTGTAATGCCCCAGCAAGGCCACTCTGACTGTCGTCATTGCTACATGTCCCGCCCCAAAACACACTGCTGGCATGTCATTGGTCCGACTCGCTGGTTGTTAAGAGATGGACGTATTCGACAATCCAGCTTATAGCACAAGGTTAACTCTTTCTTTTAATTATGTGAAAATATGTGAAGGTGGTAGAAAGTTGCTAATCTTTTACATTTTCAAACTGTCTTTAGCATCTAATACTAGTGATTAGCACAGTTAGCATAGGTAGTAAAAGGTAGAAAATATCTTACTCAAGTAAAAGTTTTGTGTTCTACCCACCTCTGTCTAAAGGCGATGATGTCTCTTTGGTTCCACCAATAAATGAGGGAAGTTTCATTAACCAGACCATTCCACTAGAAGGAGCACTACATCTTGACATTTTTCACCATATTGTAAAAATAACAGCTTCAGATGATGAAAAGGAATGTGATAACTAGGAATAGGCTTATCATAATTATGAATTTAGTCTGTAAAGATGTTTTTCCATTCAGATTTTTGAAAGCTAGAAACTACAGAAGCAATTTAAACTTGCGGCCTTGTGACAGTTGTCTTCTAGTGGATTTAAAAGAGTGCAGTGATGGAATTATAGGCTCCTAAAACACTACTCCCAAAATGTCAACCATAAAAAAAAAAACAAACAAAACAAAAGTGAATAAAAAAAATCCACAGGTCTCCGTGGAAACAAAAGAAACTGTCAAAAAAAGGCAAACGTTTACCCCAGATTCGATGCTTTCTATGTCCATTGACTGAGCTCGGGCGCCCTAAGAGTCAGAACAAAAAATGGACAAGAGAAACAAACAAACACATGGACATAAGGGATAAAGCAAATAAAAGAAGGTCATCAAAAAAGGACGGATCGGATCAACCCCAAAGCCAGAGGACTCACTACATGCATGATTGGACACCAGAGTAGGAAAAGACGGAGATTAAAGGGTAGTTGATCAAGTCCCCGGCAGGAATTAGTCGTTATTCTAAAAAGAAATTCACTTTAAGGGAAGTTAATATTCACCACTTTAAAGACAGTCAGGCAGCAGACAATATGAGAGTTAATCAACCTGTTAAAAGGTCAAACCGGTTGGTTTTATTAAAAGAAAAAAACAAGCATTAGGATGCACCAGACCATCCTTTAGGCTGGAAGAAAAATCAACAGCTTTGCAGAGAGAAATTAGTAATATCTGATTAACCAACTGCCAACAGTCATCACCTTCTCAGTAGGCGTCAATGGCTGGTCGAACTGAAATTAAGAAACAGGATTAAAGGTTTTGATGTTGTTATGCTGGTTCATCAAATCAAAAGCCTAACCTTTCTGCTTACTTCAAATCTTAAGAACAAGATGAAAGATTGGAGGTGGTCATAGTCAGGATGGTTTATTTACATTTTAACTTCTAATGCTTGGATGTGAGTTTCTAGGTTTATTCCTTAGCACCGATGTTTATAAAAAGGCAAAAATCATACGTTTTTAACCGTCTTTCGCATCAAATACTAGCAATTAGCACAGTTAGCCCCACTAACTGAGAAAAACTATGGAGTCCGAGACAAAAAATATATATTTATGAACAAACTTTGGCATATAATGCTAGTGATCGGCATAGTTAGCGTTGCTAACAGAACAATTGTTGTGACAGAGAGATTCAACGTTTTCTAAATTGTCTTTCTTACAATTAGCATCGGAGCATAGTTAGCATGGCTAACAGTAAGAATCACTGCTGTAGAGATGATGGCTCCAGTTTCAGTTCCAATTTTCACATATTGCATCTGCCTCTGACTGCCGCCCAATGCTCTTTGCACCGGTTCCTTAAGGTGCAACCCCCTGCAGGTGGTGGGCCAATGGAAGATGGCCTTCAGTCACTCGTTCAAGCTTGGCCTGGTAGGGTTCTGCAATAAGGAATCCTACCACCAGGCCTAGCCTTATCGCTTGCCTCTGTTTTTTCTTGTCATAGGGGCTTTTAAGTCTTCAGGTCGGACAAGAGTTCTGTGGAGTAAAAAACTGTTGAGGTATGTCTGTTCTTAGCCTCACAGGCTCCAAACGAAGGTAATGAGAGATAAGAATGAGTTACACAGCATCATTCATGGCATGAAGGGGAAGACTGCTGTTTTGAAGAGATCCATCTGGCCAGTGAAAGATATATTAACCTGACAGGGAACGGACCTGATGAACTCAAGTTGTTTTACCTACAAATGTTCAAGTGTGAGAAAGTTCTTTATGCAGGGGGTGGGTTGGTTCCCCTGGGGGGAGTGTGTGTGTAGGGATTTTGCTGTATAAATGTATGTACTGAGGTTGCCTCAGTCAGAGCCCCATCTCTCCGTCTGAGGAGAGTAAATACATTTGAAATTTTTTTTCATGCAAGAAATGCCTCCGTCTAAGCTTCCTAACTCCACAGTTCCTTTCTCAAATGGAGGATTTTAAATATCAAAGGGTCTTCTTCACGAGTGGAGAATGGAGCGGAAGATCAGCAGACAAATCGGTAAGGCAGCTGCTTTAATGAGGATAACGCTATGCTCGGCCATGGTCATAAATATGGGTTTGGACCAAAAAAAAGGAAATCCAGGATCTAAGCGGCTGAAATGAGCATTCTTTACAGGGTGGCTGGGGACTAGCTTAAAGATCTGGTGAGAAAGCGGCTCAAAATAGAGCCACTTCTCCACATCTAAAGGAGTCAGCTGATGTCGGTCAGACATCTTTTTTTTTGGATAGCTCCCTAGACGGCTCCCTAAGGAGGTGTTCCAGGTACATCTGACTCCAAGGAGGCATAGGGGACAGCCCGGAACATAATGGAGCGAACATGTATCTCGGCTGAACCTGGAACACCTCAGGTTGACCTGGAGGAGGTGGAATGGGGAGAAAGATGTTTGGGAATCTCTGCTGACCCCTGAACCCGGTCCTGGATAAGGAGAAGGCAACAACTACGAATACTCTCTTTAATGTGGCCTTTTTTCCCCAACCTAAATCAGTAGTCTAACTGTGTTGGTTGATTTCTTATTCATATAAATGACTCACATCTCCTTTCTGTTTTTTGCTTCCCATGCACTCCCTAAGTTCCAGTATATCTGGAGTCTCTGCATGGGTTAGGTGGCAAGCACTTTAAAACAATCAAATCTTGTATACAGTGATACTGCATTAAATATATGCTGCTCCCATACCTTCATCTAAATTATATTTCATAAAAGCCTTTTTCACTGAAGGGCCTCTACTAACTTATTATTGAAACAAGTGTTTCTGACTTGTTTTTAACAAGGGCTCAAGAAATGTTTTTTGAGAGCCATTCAAAATATTCAAGAAACCCTGCCTCATTAGCGGCAAAATAACATCAGTGGAGGCTGAGAACTCTGGAAAGGACTGAGTGAAATTATAAGGAAGAGTTATGGATTCAGACTAAACAACTCAAATGCCATTTTTAAATGACCCCCAATGTATTTGTGATTCATTCAAACAGACCTAGGATTTTACGGCCCAAATAGGATCTAAACACAGACCCTGAGCAACAGAGATTCAACACCAGTTCCTTCAGAAAGTGGGATTACTTAATCAGATGTGAAAATTACAGTAAAATACAGTAATTACAGTAATTAATCAGGGCTTGAAATAAAAATAGGTTCCCATCTTCAATTTCATTCTTTTAAAATCACCTTCAGTGAATCTATTTTCTCCCAAGAATTATTTGTTCAATTTGCACCCTTAAGGTGAATTAACACCCAGTGAAATAATCGGCATCACCTTACTGGGGTCCATCATAGACAACCTGCGCTCCAGCTGTAAAAAGCACAAAAGTCCAGTTCACCACACTGTTTACCATAAAATAATCTTATCCTAATCTGGCTCCCTCCAGATTAAAATAGCCTTAGAGTTAGACTCTTTGTGTCAGTGAACTTCTGAATGCAGGCTGAGTTAAATATGTTCAAGTCCCCCCCCCACAGATCTCCTGAGCCCCAGCTGCCTACCATCTTCATGTCGCTCTTCAGCTTACTGATGCCCGCTCTCTCGCTCTTCGTGGCTCCTGCGTTGCCTAGGTGATGGATGGAGATAGCAGGACTGACCCCAGCATCCACCTCCCTTACTGTGAAGAAACCAAACATATTGTTTAATTTCACTGCATTCCTGCATATTTTTCATTTAAACAAATCCAGACAAATCTTCCAGTGCTCACTGAATGTTTGAATTTAGTAATAGATTTATAGTAGATATTTCTAGAGAAGTCAGGATTTAAACAAAGAACCTGCAAAAGCTGGAGGAAGACGGGGGTAGGGAGGGAGGAAAACAGGGGAGGGAGGGAGGAAAACAGGGGAGGGAGGGAGGGAGGGATATTTTTTATATCATCAGCTGTGCCGCTTTATCAGAGACCTAAAATCCAAGATTTGCTTCAATGCCATCTGAACCAGGCTGATGGTCAAATAAATCCTATTGAAGAGGTCTCCCCTCCACAGCTTTATGGGGAGCTTACATCCCTCCTCATAACAAAGATAAATAACAAAATGGAGCTGGATTGATACTTGACGCTGGAAGGACAAAGCTGAAGCACAGACTTCCCAGTTATACCCAGAACTCATTCCTGTCACCAAAATAAACTTGTAATTTTGAAGAACTTTGAAGAAATCTTTTACCATCCTATCAATGTTGTATTATAAATATAAAGTAACTCTTGCAGATTTTGTACAGCTGTGACTCCCCAGCCTTGTTTTGTTAATCCATATCAGAGATGTTTCTAAACAAACAGGAAATGACGTCTCACAGAAACCTGGCTCTGGAAAAGGGTATTAGGAAGGGATTTGCAGATGTAGGTATTCAATTTCTTTCTGTTTATTTGTTCAATATGACTGCTGCTAGCAATTTTCTTTAATTTTCTTGGTATTCTTATGTTGCACATAATGGAAAACTGGACACACAATGTTTGATTTCAATTTATCAGCTTTAGTGACTATTTAAATTAAAACAGAAACTAAAAAGTAATGTAGTGAACACGAGGGGAACTCTCAGTAGAGGTGTGAAATGTGGATGTGAGGACTGACCGCTGCGCTGCACTCCAAACTCTTTCCCACTCAGGATGTGGTGCAGCAGATTCTTCAGCTCGGACGGACTGAGACTCGTCAGACTCTCGGTGGCCTCCTCTCCTGCACAGAAACCAGTTCAGGACAGCCAATCAGAGAGCTCTAGCAGTTAATATCAGCTCTAACAAACGTAGAAGTCCCTATTAAACTCTGATCCACCAGTAAGATCCTCACATCCAGAGGTTTATTTGTTAGAGCCCCACCTGAGCAGTTGAGAGACTGAGCCAGTTCAGTAGCCATAACCTGGATAATGAGACCGATACGCAGCCGGAACATCTCGCTAAACAGACTGGGTTGGGTTCTGATGCTCATTGCCAGGTACACCATGATCTCCTAGGAGACATGGCGGGAAAGAGTTCTTGTTTAGTAGAGGTTAAAAGAGATCTATATGATTTTGTGAGTGCGGGACGTGGTTACCCACCTGGGTGAGGATGGCCACGCTGATGTTGTTGTCGCTGGCCTCGTCGATGAGAGCAGCTAGCTGGTCCGGAGGGATCGGGGCCGTGATGGTTTTCTCCCTCGGCTCAGGAGGGAGGCCCACTGTCAGGTGCTTCTGGTGCGCCAACAAATCAGAGCACGCCTACACAATGATGTGGAGATACATTTCAATACATTAGTATTTTCCACAGTCTTATTTTTATTCATTGTAAAATACAGAATATTATAACTATAAAGTTATGGTAGCTATTGCAACTGGATTTAAATATTGAACCTGTACATCACAGAAACTGGTGGTAAAGGAGGAGGGCATAAAGAAAAAACTGAAGTGAAAACAAAATTTGGTAGAAAGTAACAAGCGGACAGAGAATGATGGACACTTGGAAGGAAAGGACATAAGGTGGTAGGCAGAAAGAGAAGCAGGAAACAGGAAAGAATGAAAAAAGAGGCAACATTTAGATAGTAGAAAAGGGCTTAGGGATGTAAAATAATTGACTTTTGATTCATTGTCAATTAATGGATTAAAATTTATTCCATCCAATTAATTTATAAGGTCCACTTAAAAGGAATTTCTATCTATCTATCTATCTATCTATCTATCTATCTATCTATCTATCTATCTATCTATCTATCTATCTATCTATCTAT